ATATAATTTATATATATATATATATATATATATATATATATATATATATATATATATATATATATATATATATATATAAAATAAATATAAAATAATCATCATGATTTTCTTCATCAGAGTGAAAACGGTAGTGCACATATTTAAGTAATTAAATCACAGACTGCTTGATTTGACTATCGCACTAAGCAATCTCGATTTCTACTCCTTCACATCGTGCAGCTTTGCTTTCTACTGGATGTTAATTGTGCAACATAAAGCCAGAGGATGTTAGATAAAGTCTAGAGGATTTAACCTAGATGTCTGGCACGAGATAACTCAATCTGCGCTACATCTAGGTCATATCTGAGATAAAGCAAATGACAATCCAGCAGTGAAGCCCACCGGCGCGCTGCAGTGGAACACCAGCTTTCATGCGGGTTTGTGGTTCAGCGTTTGTCCTGCAGCAGCACACGCATGACCTCAAACACATGCATGACTGACGACCCGCTCCAGATTACACCAGAGCCTTCACTGTGACTCACCCGAACACCCAGCACTGAGTCCCGACCCGTTTGCACTGTGTGTCCGTCATGTACGCGTAATACTGCCTGTAGAGCAGATCATTAATCATACACAGTTCAACAGGGCATGTTATTCCACATTTCAAAAAATAATGTTCTAGATCAATGTTGAAGACCCCCAGAGACGGAGTCAACATTTCAATAATTTAACAACACGCATTTACATTTCTCTGATATTACATAATGGTCACATGACATGCAAGTAAACAAATAATACGTTTTAGTAAGTGTTTTATTTTGACTTTTAATTAAAAAAAATGCACACACACATACATATATATATACATATAAATCCTGCACACTGCTCAAGCTTACACCACCACAAAAAAAATAAAAATAAATATATATAATTATATATATATATATATTTCCTAGTTTATATTGTACTTTCATCCAACACAATTATAAATTATTCTGGTTACATTTTAATTTGATTGTTTTTACATTAATATTATTTATTTCAATTTGATCAATTTTTGTTAATTTTATTACCGATTTTAATTTTACATTTTTATGATTCAATTAATGATTCAGGTGTGCAGGCATTACATTTTTATTGTATTGTCTTTATATTAATATTATTTATTTAAATTCTTTATCAATTTTTACGTCACATTTTTAATCCATTTTAATTTCACATTTTTATGATTCAGGCTTGTGGGCATTACATTTTTATTTGATCGTTTTCATATTAAAAATATTCAGGTTACATTTTTATTGGACTGTTTTTACATTAATATTATTTATTTTAATTTTAACCATTTTTGTGTTACATTTTTAATCCATTTTAATTTGACATTATGATTTAACTAATTCTGGTGTGCGGGCATCATGTTTATTCACTTGTTTTTATATTAATATCATTTGAATTTTTATCAATTTATATGTTACTTTTTAATCAATTTTAATTGTAAAAAATTTTTATTTAATGAATCAGGTGTGTGGGCATTACATTTTTATTTTATTGTATTTATATTAATTTTTTTATTTTGACATTTTTAATCAATTTTAATTTAATTATTATCTTTTCATCAGCTCACAAACCCTTTTCTTTTTGCCATTTTTATCAATTTCCAGTGAATAAAAATCAAGTGCCATCTGAGATCTTTGCTGGTTTTCCTCTAAAATGCATCAGACTGTGTGTTTGTTACTGTACGTACCGTACAGTAGGAGCCGTGATGATCCCGATGAACAGGATCCGGCACCAGCTGAGAGCGTGGCATGCTGGGAACACGAAGATGTGCTTCAGGAAGAACGTGTTCAGCTCCGTCAGCTTCAGTCAGAGAGCAAAATAAACCAATCAAGCAACACCACAAACAAAGCCAGCTAAACTGATCCTGAAGAGCTGGGACAAAACAGAGATCTGACCAAGTTTAACTCCATAAGGAATTCATCTGTTAATAGATTCGATTGCATTCGTACATTACAAACATTGAAAAAGTCTAGCATTCAGCATTAATAATACTGTTTTAATGCTTTGATTAAACTTTAATAATTAATATTACAATTTCAACCACTGTTACTTTAGTATCACTTAAAAATGTTAATATTCTAAATCAGATCTTATTTTTTTCAGCTTTCAAGCAATATTAATTTTTTTTAAATTAGTTATTAGTTTAATTTTAGTTAAAGTTTTAGTAATTTAGTTGTTTTCCATTTGATTAGTTTTTAAATATGTTTATTATTTTTATTTCAGTTTGAGTTATTTTAGTACATCAAGTTAAACTTAAAAAAAAAACTAGCTGAAACAAAATAAGATTTTATATTTCTACTGAAACTAACAATTCTTTTATTTCAATTAGCAAAAATGTTTTTGAAATGATTCAAAACTTTAATACATTTAAACTTTAATAATCAACTGAATTAGAAAAAAATGTAACAATTTAATCATTTATTACAAACTCAAACAGTGTTATTTTAGTATCATTTAAAAACTATTTATGTTATTCTATTTTTAGATTTTATTTTTAATAGATTGAATCTATTAAAAATATTAAAATCTCTATTAACAGATCTAATTTTTTCTGCTTTCAAGCTAATTTTAGTTAAAGTTTTAGTAATTGACTTATTTTTGTTTTCCATTTTTATTAGTTTGTTGTTTTTAAATGCATTTTTATTATTTTTATTTCAGTTTTAGTTATTTTAGTACATCAAGTAACGAAAATGTTTTTGAAATGATTTAAACCTGAAATATTTACACCTACAAATCTCATTTGTACAGAGGTTTCTAAAGTACACAGATCTCCAGAGAATCACATGCTTTTAATTTACAGCATAACATATTATTATATTAATATCTTCTAGCCTTACAGTTGCATTTATCAAATAACATAGTTCACATTTTGCAACCGTAAGCAGCTGAGAGATATTTTGCACATCATACAAGTATTAAATTCTGTCGTTTTTATAACCTGACCTACATAAAATCCTCCGATTCCCATCTCAAAGACATTTAATCACGCTTTAAAGGGCCCTCAGTAGGGAGCGAAGAGAAGAGACAATAGAGAATGAAGAGAGGGCTTTCATCGCCGTGGAAACGGCTCGGGGGCGGAGCTTCGGTCTCTCAGGAGAACTCATGTGACCCACACGTCTGAACTAGTTAAAGCTGATTAAACTAATTATCTTCGATGCGGACAATAAAACAAATCACTGACTAATAAAGACCGAAACTGTTAGCTTAAGCGGTTTTATATTGTGGTATTTAATTAATTGGATTAATTATAATTAATAATTGGACTAATAAACTATATTACCTGTCATTTAATTAATAGTAACAATTTATAATAAGGTTCTATTGATGATAGTCAACGCACTAACTAACATTAACTAGCAATGAGCAGTACATGTGTCACAGTATTTATTCATCTCTGTTAACGGTCCATTAAAAAATACAAACAGCTTTTGATTTTAATCATTTATTTAGTAAATGTCGAATTAACATTAACTAAGATTACTAAATGCTTTAGAAGTATTTTTCATTGTTAGTTCATGTTAACTAATGTAGTTAACAAATGGAAACTTATTGCAAAGTGTTAACTATTTAATTATATTCATAACTATATAATTTGGAGACAGATTAAAAAAAAAAAATTGATGATGATGAAGGACCAGGTGAGAAATATTGATAAATTGGTATTTGATTTTATTTATCAATATTCCTCACCATGTCATTTGGAGACTAAATTAAATTAAATTAAAATATATATCATTTTGAGAAAGACGCAAAAAAAAAATGTAACGAAACGAAATGAGAAACACTGATAAACTGGTATTTGATTAAATATATTTATTAATATTTCTCAGTATATCATTTAGAGACGGACTCAATTGCGTAAAAAAAAAACTTCGTCCTCCATTTTTAATTATGGTTTTGTTTTCCACAGTGCGAGCGATTATTCGATTAATTACTTATACGTCACTCTCATTAAAAATCTATGAAATCACCCTATTAAATGCAATTCACTTCTTCCCAAATTCCATGATTTCCGTTTTAATTTTTCTAGATTCAGTAAACTTTAACTCTTTCCCCGCCAGCATTTTTAAAAAAAGTTGGCAGCCACCGCCAGCGATTTTGATGATTTTCACTCAAATCTGACGGCCTGCAGTATATTTTACTGTATGAATATCTGAATATGCAATACACCAAAATAAAGATCAGAGCCTCTACTTTTACTAACAAAAAAAATCAGTTTTATTCTAGCTTAAATCATTCTTTTTTTTTTTTTATCAACACTTGAACATTGGTAGGTTTCATAAAAAATGCATAGGTGAGAAAATCTCATTTTTATCAAAAACTACATCTGGATAATATTCAGTACGTTTATCAAAGCATAATCCATCAACACCTCCAAAGCTTGCACAGACATCATGCCCTGGATCAACATTTTACTCCGTAACATTATGCAGTTTTCATTGATATGCTGTCTATTGCTGATGATCGCATTATTTTTCATATGCATCTGTTTACAAAAGAGCTCGCTGGTTTCTCCGTCCTGTTCACGTGAGTTTTTGTTCGGGAGGCTTTGTACTCGTTCAGAAGATGCGTAATAGTGACCCCGGGTGAAAAAAAAATACTCGAAAACTCGTCTTTGGCTGGGAAGCGTTTTCTTCTAAAAGATGAGATAACTCGTCAATGGCAGGGAAAGTGTTAAAGGGTTAGTTCACCCAAAAATTAAAATTAGCCCATAAATTACTCACCCTCAAGGCATCCTAGCTGTATATGACTTTCTTCTTCAGATGAATCCAGTCGGAGTTATATTAAAAATTGTCTTTGATCTTTCAAGCTGTTTAATGCCAGTCGGCCGGTGTTGCATGCATCAGTCCAAAAGAAGTTAAATAAAAAGCGCCCATCCATAAAAAAAGTGTCTCAGGGCTCCGGAGGGTGAACAAAGGCCTTCTGTAGCGAATCAATGCGTTATTCAAAACGTAATAATCACTTTAATGTAGCTTGCGGCAGCAGTTGTAAACATGAGCGGCGCATGCGCAGCGCTAACCTCAGTAAGCGCAAGCTAGATTCGCTACAAGAGGACTTTGTTCACCCCCCGGAGCCGTGTGAGACACTTTTTTATGGATGGGCGCTTTTGATTTCACTTCTTTTGGACTGATGCATGCAACACAATGGGCTAATTTTCATTTTTGAATGAACTAACCCTTTAATAATAAATTTAACTAATCAGACTTTAACTAGTTTTATTTTTGATTAACTGGCTGCTAGAGATGCGAGCGGACTGACCTGCCAGATGATCATGAACAGATAGACTCCCGTCACTCTCTGTAAGGAGGACTTGGGGTCGAGCCAGCGCACGTATGTCCAGCTAGCGGGAGTGAACTGCAGCGCTGCGCGCTTGATCTTCCCCGTGGTGCTGTGGATGTCTCTGGGCGACACAAACACACTCGTTCAGCTCGTTCAGTCTCTGCCAGACGCTCTCAGAAAGCAGTGTTAGAGGGGTTTCTTACTTGATGCTGGCCCAGTGATACGTGCGCATCTCCAGAAAGCGGCAGGTGGTCATTCCCAGCCAGATCCCTCCGCCGTTACACAGCAGGATATCCAGGATGACCTGATCCCACCAGCACTCCGCGAAATTCGGAAGAAGGTGCATGAAGAACAGCTGCGCGGAGAGATTGCTCGAGTTATTGTGTGTCTCGTCGACCCACAAATGATTTCAGCTGTTTCTGCCATTAGCATGTTTCTAACGAACAAAGTGAAGCCGTAAGAAGCAGTTTTTAAGAAGTTAACTTAAGCAGTTTTAACTATTTTATTAATATATTGTGGTATTTATTTTTATTAATTGTATTTAATAATTAAATAAATAATATAAATAATAATAATAATTATTATTAATACATAATAATTGAATTAATATTTATTTATTTGTATTTAATTATATTTATCAATATTTCTCACTAAACAATTTGGAGACAGACTCACTAACAAAAACATAATTGTAATCAATAATTAAATAATAATAATAATTATTATTATTATTAAATACATAATAATTGAATTAATATTTATTAATTTCTATTTAATTATATTTATCAATATTTCTCACTATACAATTTAGTATTTAATTATATTTATCAATATTTCTCACTAAACAATTTGGAGACAGACTCACTAACAAAAACATAATTGTAATCAATAATTAAATAATAATAATAATTATTATTATTATTAAATACATAATAATTGAATTAATATTTATTAATTTCTATTTAATTAATTATATTTATCAACATTTCTCACTAAACAATTTGCAGACAGACTCACTACAACAAAAAATATCTGCGATGAAGGATGAAGTGAGAAATATTGATCAACTCTGACTTCATCCCACATTTTAAATGCGTGTTTTTGTGTGTGTTGTGTTGTTTTCACGGAGCATTTCACAATGCATTCTGGGATTGCTAAACTGGATTTTGAACAAAACTAAAATGAGAGCAATTATTTGGAGCCAGTTGCTGAACAATATCAAATTTAATTTTATCCCAAATTTCCATTTTAATATTATTAAAATGTCAACAATAATACGGCCCAATGAAAGGTGCTTTATTTATGTCTTTAAAAAAAAATGATGTTCTATGTTGTTGGTTTTAATATTAATATTATTATTTTAAAAATCGAATTGTTTGATTTCATTTTAAAAAGCATGTTTTTATTAAACATGATTACATTATTATTTTATTAAATATGAAATGATAAAATTTGTATTAAATTAATATTGTATTAAATATTTTATATAATTTATATAAATTTTCAACAATAAGGCTTAATGAAATGTGTTTTTTTAATTTTTAAATTATTTTTCTAAAATTGCCTTATTACTGATACATTTTAATGGTTTGACTTTTTTAGAAATGTGTTGTCTGTTTTCATTTTTAATTGAATTAAACAATTTTGAAATTAAAAAATATTTTTTTATATAATTAAATCTTTAAGAATTTTGTTGCGTGTTTAATGTGTCTATATAGTTTTTATAAATTTTTATTTCAGTTTTAGTTATATTAGTACTTCAAGTTAAACTAAATGAAAATGAGAAATGAAAGGCGTTTTATTTTAATTATCTTTTTTTTGACATTCTGTGCTGTTGGTTTTAATATTTAATTTAATTAATTTTAATATCAATTAATTTAATTTGAATTAATTAAAATGTTTAATTATTTTGTTGTGTTTTGTCTTTTTTAACATGTCCATATTGTTCCCTATATTATGTTATTTCAGTTCAGTTTTAGTTTTAGTTATTTTAGTACATCAAGTTAAACTAAATAAAAATGAAATGTTTCCTTGGCAACTAGTTGAAGTAAAATAACTTTCTTTATTACTATTATTAATTTCCTATTATTAAGTAAATTATGTGTTTAATTTCTCTGTATTCTGTGTTTTATGATTTAATACAAATTTATTATCGAAGAGAGTGGCAATCAAATGAATGAATCCTGTTGAAAACAATTTGTTTAATCTCTTAAAAAGTAATCAAATGAAAATGTAACTCCTTTTATTTTCTGGCAAACATAATCAAGTGGTCATTAGCTGTGAAACATCATGTGTGTGTCCCTGGAGCACAAAAGCAGTGTTGAGTCGCTGGGGGATATTTGTAGCAATAGCCAACAATACATTGTATGGGTCACAATTATACATTTCTCTTTTATGCCAAAAATCATTAGGATATTAAGTAAAGATCATGTTCCATGAAGATGTTTTGTAAATCTCCTACCGTAAATATATCAAAACTTAATGTTTGATTAGTAATATGCATTGCTAAGAACTTCATTTGAACAACTTTAAAGATGATTTTCTCAATATTTAGATTTTTTTGCACCCTCAGATTCCAGATTTTCAAATAGTTGCATCTCAGCCAAATATTGTCCTCTCCTAACAAGCTTATTTATTCAGCTTTCAGATGATGCATAAACCTCAATTTAAAAAAACTGACACTTAAGACTGGTTTTGTGCTCCAGGGTCACAAATATATTCTTCTATGAATGGCTGTGAGAGCGGAGTGTGAGGCCTTCACCTCGGTCAGCTCCCAGGTGATGCTGATGGTCCAGCACAGGCCATAGCTGCGGATCAGCAGAGCCTTCATTCCCCAGCCCCAGAAATGACTGAAGGCGAAGATGTCGAAGTGGCTGAGGATTCGCTCCCAGGTGATCACATGACAGTTCACGGCATACTCCTGTCAATCATCACCGCAGCGACACTTCAAGTCAAGCCACCTTTATTTATACAGCGCTTTATACAATACTGATCGTGTCAAAGCAGCTGTACAGTGGCTAACAGTAATGCAAGAGGACAATAACAAAGAGACAATTTTCCAGCTAAAATCAGTTCATGCTTTTTGATTATTTAATTTAATTTATTATTTAACACGCGCTAAAGTTGCTATTGTGGGTGTAACTATATTAAACTGAATGCAGTGCATCCGTTTGAGATTCGTGACCGTGTTATTTTAGTATCACTGAGATACAAGTATAGTATTTTTATATTTTCTCTTTTCATTTTAAATTAAATTTTTCTTATTTTCTCATCATATGTCAATATCGTTCTTATTCGTTTTTATTTCAGTTTTAGTTTAGGTCATTTTAACACATCAAGATACACTAAATGAGAACGAGAAATGATGCCTTGACAACTTGCTGAAATAAAATAAGTTTAAGTTTTATGTTCTCAATCTGTCCATCATTTTAAATTATTAAAAAAAAAAAAAAAAAAAATTCTGGATACTGTTTTAATTCAATTTTAATAATCAAATGGTTTGATTTAATTTTAATAATGAAAAATCATTTAATTTAATATTTTTATATGTTCTCAAATGTGTCCTCCATCTTAAATGATTTTTCTAAATTCATTCCATATTTTAATTTTACTGGATTCTGTATTTAATTTTAAAAATCAAATAAATTGATTTAATTTAAAAAAGCATGCTTTTTATTAAATTATAATTTTAAATATTAAATTATAAAAATATTTTATTAGTGTTTTTTTTAAATATTAAATTGTAAAAAATATTTTATAAAATATTCAACAATAGGACCCAATGAAATTAGTTATTATTCATCCTTCATCTTAAATTATTTTTAGAAAATGTGCCTTATTACTGATATATTTTAATGGTTTGACTTAATTCTAATAATCAAAGAACATGTCTAATTATTTAAATTCATAAACCTTATTCAACAATAAATTTTAATTTAATTAAATAATTTTAGAATTAAAAAAATGCATCGACAAATAATTTTTATTTAAGCTTCAATAATTTTCTTCTGCATTTTTGTCTTTTTTTAATACGTCTTTTTTATTTATAATTTATTTATTTATATCTAAAATATTATACAGTTATTTTAGTATATCAAGTTAAGTTAAATTAAATTGAGAAAGGTTTCCTTGGCAACTAGTTGAAATAAAATAAGTTACATTTTTGTATTTCAGTTCATGTTTACTTTGTCAAGTCGCAATTTTTTTATGGTTTTAGTTTTACTAATAAACTATATAAACCTGATTTGTGAATATTTTTGAACATAATGCATCCGTGAGCTGTTCCTTTAACAACAGAACTGGGTCGCCACTGACCATGATGTCGGCTTCCCGTTTGGCGTAGCGCAGATTGGGATCCAGCCAGAACATGAGAGACTTGACCTGCTCCCAGTTCAGGAAGATGATGAAAACCAGGAAGAGGAAGTACAGCACACTCAACCCTGCACAACCACACAACCACACACTTCAGAAAGAGGAAGCACGCCAACCTACAAACCCAACCACTCAGACCTGCCCTTCATCCTCTATTCATGTTTATTATTAGGCTTCAAAAACAAGCGTCTGATCCTCTCACCAAACACTATCCTCCATATTGCTGGATGGGGTCTCGTGAAAGGACCTGAAAAGAGACACCACACACTTCAGAAAGAGGAAGCACGCCAACCTACAAACCCAACCACTCAGACCTGCCCTTCATCCTCTATTCATGTTTATTATTAGGCTTCAAAAACAAGCGTCTGATCCTCTCACCAAACACTATCCTCCATATTGCTGGATGGGGTCTCGTGAAAGGACCTGAAAAGAGACAGAGAGGTTATGAACGATTAGCCGACGTCATCTACAAATATTTGAATCGTCTCATGTGAGGTAAAGTAAGGGCCTGCAGTAACGCGGTTTGACCAGTGTGGCGCTGTAGTGCAAGACTGTACGGACGCAATCCAGTACAGACGACGGCGCTTCAAGCCGAACCGCGACAGTGTGGGAAAGACTTACAAACCTACAAACAAACAAAAACGCTGTCATGTGCAAAGGCCCCGATATACTCACGGCAAAGTCTGTTGTCGTTATTCATTTAGAGTTAAAAAGTAGAAAACAGCAGTTCAGAAAGCATCTGATTGTAGAGATGTGGATATGTTTGCACCAGCTCTGCGATTCGGCACTTACGTTTTATATAGTGCATTTATATAGTGCTTTATGCAATCGATTGCTTTAAAGCAAGCATCTTTACGAGATTAAACATGTAAAAAGTCGCTTTTTACATGTTTATGAGTGTCGCTTTCATTTAGAATTGCAACTCTATTGTCTGCTATAAAGCAGCTCTCCAGTGTTGAGCTAACTAATGTTATATCTTTTTATTAGTGAATGGCAAAAAAAATAAATTTAATTAAATACATTAATTAAAACACAAAAATTATGAAAAACTGATAGTTTGGTTTGCACAGATATTTTATTAAAATTCCGACAATAACAGGGTCCAAAGAAATTTGTTTTTTTTGTTGTTGTTTTACATAATTATAATATAATTTTTTAATATATTTTAATATATATATATAAAACAGAAATTGTAATTACATAATGGTAATACAACTGTAATAGCAATATAATTGTTTGACAGTTTACAAAGCTGAAGTGATTACTGTTTTTTATTTATTAGTAAGAATATGAATGTCAATATTTTAACTTCGCAAAAACTGAATAATCGATCTAAGCCTACTGACTGATCAGTGAAATCTCTGACCATTAATCATTCACATAATCATTAGATTCATTGATTATCAAACTAATCGTTTGTTGCAGTCCTATTATGAAGCCGAACACGTGTGTGACCATGATCATAAAACACTTAAGGACAAACGTGCTGGACACGGAGCTGTTCAGCGCGACTTCACGACTCTTACCGTTGGGGAAGGCGAGAACGCTGATGACCAAGAAGAAGGAGATGACCAGGATGAGACCCACCCACAGGTTATTGTCAGGGTTTCCATCATCTCTGCAACAGAAACATGCGGTCACACTCTGAAAAGCCCCCGCACACCCAGCCCATCTTCCTCTCTCTATTCCACCACAGTTTCACAATTCACTACACACACAGACACTCTCACACACAGACACACAGACACACTCTCTCACACACACACACACACACACAGAGAGAAACACACACACACACACACACACAGACAGAGAAACACACACACAGACAGAGAAACACACACACACACACACAGACAGACAGACACCGAAACACACACACACACACAGACAGACACCGAAACACAGACACACA